CTTGGATATACAATATAATACACTAATATAATGTAATATAACTTCTTTGCTCGGTAGTGCAAGTTCCACACTGGCACATGAAAGAGTGGCATGGAGATCTGGGTATGCCACAGAAGAAGTCTTGGAAACACCTGACCGAACACTGGACAGGTTTGCTGTGACCGTAAACCGTCTGTAGGCTTGTCACGTCCGTCCATGCGTAACTGTAAGGACAGTTGACTTCCTTTATCAATTTGATATTGCCTGTTTCGGCACTCAATCTACTTCAATACCAGACCTGCCGTATATCATTAGATGCTGCGGGGTGGAACAGAGTGTAGTGGAACTTTGAAAAACCTGGCAAAAGACAGATATAAAAAAAACGAATGTGATCTTGAGGACAAACAAAAGAGGGCTGATGCTCCAAATATTCGCATTTGCATAAAAAACCGGCTTTAACGGGGAGGATTTACCGAATTAAGCCAAATCTTTCGTTTGCAACGGTCTCCAACTGAATATGTGGCATTGAGGCGCCTCATGTTTCAGTTGGTATGATATTTGAGACATTGTCTAGACGCAACACACTACTCGTAAGGTCGTTGAAAACTCTTCTTGAAGCTTCATGAAGATCAACAGGTAAGTTCAGTCCATGGGTCTTCGTCAACCTCATGTTCTACGTGAAGCCATCTTTGACGGGATTCGCCAAACAATCCCAGCTACATAGGAATTCTGTTTTGATCATAGACTTAATTGAACCCAGCCCAATTTCTGTTTTCATTTTCCTACCTGATGAGTCCTAAGAAGGGCGAAACCGTTCGTGGATCTTCGCAGAGTTTTCAGCAAGTCTGATGGCAGTTCAGCACGTCTAGAAGATATCACATCTAAGAGCTACTCTAGTTGTGCAACAGCTATTCACCCAGGTTAAAGTACATGTATGCTCCGTATTGCAGTAAACATGCTACTGATAAACCAGGATTGCATTTGTTAGGACGTCCGAAATGAATACAGTGGTCTTTTTCCACTGGAAAAAAACGTGGGGCATGTTTGCGAAGACCAGAAATTCGAACTGAGTGGAAATATCTTGACATGATTGTAAACCATTGAGTCGTATGGCTTATCCACCCTCCAAAAAACTAACACCACTTGTTTTCATTTCCTACCTGATGAGTCCTAAGAAGGGCGAAACCGTTCGTGGATCTTCGCAGAGTTTTCAGCAAGTCTGATGGCAGTTCAGCACGTCTAGAAGATATCACATCTAAGAGCTACTCTAGTTGTGCAACAGCTATTCACCCAGGTTAAAGTACATGTATGCTCCGTATTGCAGTAAACATGCTACTGATAAACCAGGATTGCATTTGTTAGGACGTCCGAAATGAATACAGTGGTCTTTTTCCACTGGAAAAAAACGTGGGGCATGTTTGCGAAGACCAGAAATTCGAACTGAGTGGAAATATCTTGACATGATTGTAAACCATTGAGTCGTATGGCTTATCCACCCTCCAAAAAACTAACACCACTTACCCGTGGTTGTTACATGTGGTCAGCGCGTTATCTCCGCCGGTCGATTGTCTACATGTTTATCTACCTATTATGTCCTCACCATTCATAGTGTTTGGCAAAATGTAACATTAAAAATTACTGATCGTGAACCGCTTCCAGCAAGGAAATAGTTTGTAAAGACGTTTCTAGTCTCAGTGGCATAATAAGTGACTAAACTAAAGACACAAAGGTAATCAAAATAACCTAAAAGCTCTTCGAGAAATACACACATATGCAAATCAATTTGGTTTTCACGATAGACTCAGCTGAATCTCTCGTTTATGATATTCCACAACTGAATGTGCGGCACATAGGCCACCTCATGTTTCAGTTGGCACGACATTCAAGATGTCACAGCATATTTTCATAAAGGAAACAACGCACAAGCTGCTGAAAACTCTTCGGTAACCCACGCTCGGCTTTGCTCCTCTTGGGGTTCATCAGGTAGGCTCAATCCCCGAGTATATGGCGAATACCGTTCAATTTGGGTTCAAGTAGAACATAAGGTTGACGGAAACTCGGGGACTGCGCCTACCTGGTGAGCCCCAAGAAGGGCGAAACCGGTCGTGGGCTGTCGAAGAGTTCTCAGCAACCTTGTGAGTAGTTTCCTTTGTGAAAATCACCTAACAGCTATTTATTACAAACATGCAATTTGTCGATCCAGAATGAATCATGTTACCGGATTGTTGATTTCTGAGTCATCTACCAAACACTGATTGATCGTTGGGATCGGCTCACTGGCCCAGCACCAAATAAGATCACCTTACCGTCTGCAAAAAAATACCACCTGAAGAAGACATGGTCGTTCTGAAATCAAACAAGACAGGCATCCTTGTTTGTCTAACCTTAAGTCGGCATCTGCTTTTACATGATTAGTAACATGTTCACCGATATTTCCTCCTGGACTATCTCGCTCGTCTGATACTATGCTGTGCCGTATGCTCTGGCAGTAATCGAGAAGAGTGATGGTAATTTCAAATCGCTTCCATGCTTAAGCGCTTTACTAAACTGTGCGGTACACTTATTGAAGAGACCAGGAAGTTTCGAATAGTCGGACGCCATACACCTATTCCGGAAACTTGTGGTTCTGATTAAATAAACAGCAGGCAATTCTATGGGTACGGGTTTAAAAAGAGATGCTCTGCAAAACCTGTGCAGCAGAAGGACAACCCTTGCAATTAAGATCACTCGACATTTTTAGATTCTATCAGTAGCCAATGGTCTCATTTACAGACTTTTTTAGTAAGTAAACTTTCGAGGAATACACAAACACCTTACCATATCCGTCCAATACCTTGCGAAAACCTAAGCTGTTTTCAGTGATATGATTCAGAAATCTTGATAGTGTAGGCATAAAAATCAGACCATATTTTTTTAAATTCGGTTAAACATGGAAAGTGTAAAGATTTTGTTTAACGAGAGACAACTTCAGAGATAGATTCGGTAAAATAAATAGTCAAAAGGGTAACTGTTTGAAGCCCGAAGATATTTTACATGCTAACTTTCAAGCAGGTGACACAGGCTGAAACGTATTTAACGAAGGTGGACAAAGGTTATCCTCACTGTGCAGTGCACATTTTGTCCACATTACCGTAAGTGATTTGCTGATTTATCACTAAAGGTACAACTAATTTGAGTGAAGACCTTTCAAAACGTTTCAAAATCACTGGTTCTTTAAGTGTGTTAATTCAATCAAAATTTTTTACGCCAATACTGCCTATTAAGTTAGCACTTCGTGGAGAGTTGCCTCGGTGTAAAAAGAGAGTAACACGAGATGAGGGACTTCAAATCAACCACGTGAATTTTCATTGTTCTTGGAAAGCTATAGGAATTTTCTCAGGTAATACCAGAATATTATAGCAACAATCTGTTCTGGTAAGGTTTGTAGCCGGTTGGTAGCGGAAACTCATGGCATTATAAATGTCACAATGATGTACACATTGTTTGCTATTTTACGGCCGTGTCATGTGAAAGTTTTATCACTTATCAGGATGATGCCATCAATTTGTCGTGAATGTGCTGCACCAGGTCGCCCCATGCTTTGAATGATACGATATTCAAAGTATCGCAGTTGAGGGGTAGCATGAACGAGAGATTCAGGAAGATCTTCAGTAAAAATCAAATTCATATGTGATTTGTTGTGTATTTGTTGAATTTCATGTGATCTGGGTCCAAGTAGAACATAAGGTTGACGAAAATTCGGGGACTGTGACTACCTGATGCGTCCTAAGTAGAGCAGAACCGGTCACGGGCTGTCAACGATTTTTCAACCATTTTATGAGTAATGTGTGGCACCTATATAGATGTTGCATTATTCCAAGAATGTGGCGTGAAGCCTGGAGCAGAAGGATGTGGGTTCAAGTCGAGTACTGCTCGTCCATTTGCCACCATTTGAAACGATATAGTGGAAATACGGACTGTGAAAATATGGGTGTCACTTGTGTCTTTTTTCCTCAGAATCGATGGGTTTAACCTTTACTCTACAGAACTGCTTTATTCGAGAATATTCCGAAATAGCAGATTTTAGTTAACAGTGTTTTCTCGACAGTAGTTTGAAAAAAACTTTATGTGCAAAACTGATTGCTAAAGTAGGAATGTGCCGTTTTCGTTTCGCCCACATCTCTGGGCACACTGACCAACGTTCGACAGTTGAGTGATCTGGTACCTTAATGCTATTTTCCGCATTCCATTTTGAGTGCACTAGTTAAATAGCCCAATCAGCAGTTGATCCTCTTACAATAGTCTGGAATTATAGAATTTCAGATGTCCTGTTGATGTAGGAATGCACGGGGCTATAAGTGGCGTGAAAATATATTCATCACAATGGGTTGTGCGTGCACTTATCTAACCTGGCTTTCTTTCAATAAAGCGTTGTGGGCGTACATGAGTTTTTGAAAGGACCTACTCAGAATCACCTGACGAAGAATGGTAACATAGAGTCATCTAACTAGATAATAGTTTGACCATCAATCATAACTGACAATGAGTTCATCCGTATTTTGCCTCCATCCAAGTTGGGCCACCGAGGAACTCCCTCCACGTATGATTTTACCAAAAAATTCCTTGTGTTTTGTTTTAGAGTAGAAATTATGGCCACTGACAAGCTGGTATTTGTAGCCTTCAATCCTCAAAAGCAAACGCATGAGTACTCTTCTTGTGTTTTGTTTTAGAGCAGAAATTATGGTCACTGGTATTTGTAGCCTTTAATCCTCAAAAGCAAACGCATGAGTACTCTTTCATCATTCCGATTAAGATGAGAAAAAACTTGATTGTGCATAAATATAAACTTCGTGGTAACCAATCATTTGGTGCTTTCAGCTTCAGCTTTCAGCTGCACCAGACAGGCAGTTTGGTGTCTACCCATCTATTCTGAAGGTTCCGAGAATTGGTGATAAAACCAAATCTAAGAGTGCAAACTTTCTGCTTTCCCACCAGGGATTCTCCTCATTGTCTTTGTAAGATGCGGGTGAAAATGAACTCACCTAGTCCAAAGTATATTGACTGAAGATTCTAACACATCGGTGGGTAACAGGCATTTTGTCAGACTAGTCTGACTAGTTCGTGTTTTCTTCAGTCCAGTCACGGCAGTCATGTGTATTCAAAACTGATGTTGGTTACTCAAGTGTTTACTCTGCCGTAGGTCTCTAGATGAGAGCAATGTAATACTCATATGTATCTTCTTGAAGAATACCGTCCAAATTCAGGTATCGCATAGTACCTTTCATCCGACCTGCAGCAAACCCCCGCATGTCATCTCCTCGTTGTATACCCACGCTAAGTTCGATTTCTTGCGATTGAAACCATTTACAATGGGATAGGCATGGTTGAACTGACCTTCAATTTGAGTAGGCCCATTATAGCTGAACTTAGCACCAAACTATCATTGCATCCCGATTGAGTGTAATCACTTTCCTACTCTCCACCCGGAATGGAAGTCCAACTGTACGAGATAAATATCTCTTGCAACGTTGTTCCTGGTATTCAGGCGACAGGCGACCCTGGAACGGGCATTGTCCACTGTGAGATGGCATGGTCTGGAATTCGCTAGCCTGAAAACTAATGTCACGTCAGTTCCAAAAACGATTTTCGAACTAAAATCCCAACTGTTGCTGACCTCGAATTCCGTGTGCCGATTCATCAGGCGCTCTTTGTGGCTTTTTTCAAATTTGAAATGGACAGTGTTTATCATGTGAATTTGGTACGTCGGGGTAGTCCCTTCAGATCTCTGCATCAGGCCAATTTTCAAGACTTTTCGTGAAGCTATTTTCATACATTTTTGATGAAGAATCTCAAAACCCTCCTGAAGATTACAGGAGAAAAATAAACTATCTGACTTCACACTATTAACTGCATTCTCTGGTCGACTTCTTGGATAAAGAACGACAAACACAGAGACTGGTATGCTGCTGATGCAGAAAAACCACTGCGTAGTATTTACACGATAATCTGTGGAAAACACTTTTGTTGCAACGCCTTTGCGACGGATAATATTTACTATACAAATATCTTGGGGACTTTTGACAAGTTATTTGTTGACGGTACAGGTTTCAAAGTGCTCCAGAATCAAATTAAATTGGATCAAACAACACACCGTTTCTGAAGAGGGCAAGGAACATGTTATGTAGAGAATGATGAAAGGTTTTCCAATACGGTTGCCAGCAGGCCAGAAAGTATGTCACGAAATATTGCGTCAAATGTAGTTTTATACAAAACTAAGATGGTTTGCAGAAACAGTCGCATGTTCGTCAGTTCTAGCGGTTGAAACTGACTGATCAAATTCCTCTTTCATAGAAGCTATTCCATTTGCCCATTGCACGATGCGCTCTTCATGGTCCCCAGGAAATCTAGCGCTTTCTATTCTATGCAGTTGTTGATAGTCGTCTCCTATTGTTAATGAATGGATATTTAGGGGAAAATATGAGGTGGTTTGTGGTTTGTGGAAGTTTGGCGTCTTAATCTCACTGCAACATGGTGATTGTTCCGGTTTTGAACCAAGTGGGTCTTTGTTCATCGAGTTCGTTGGAGAAGCTGTCAGAGAACTGCCATCTCTAACGAATGCAGCTTCGTGATTGCCTAACTGGCGATCCGGATGCACAAAACGTTCTTCATTACAGAATGAAACTACTTTTGATGATTCAACAATGCCCCTATATGCTGATGGGGGAGTTACCTCCTGATGTCCGGCAAAGGTGCTCCTGTTGTCACATGATTGGTGGGTAAGCAGAAGTTGATAAGGGGAATTGGGAATCAGCAACTGAGCACGTCGAGAGTCACTGGTTGCATACAATGAAGGAAGAGGTCCTTGGGTGGCCGTCGGCTAGAAAACAAGAAGGAACATGTACGGATACTCAGTACCGTGCCTGCTGTAAAGACTGAATGACTAAGCAGTAGACAGTCTTTTGGATGAAAGATGAAATACTAGAATGAAATCAATTTGAGAAAGTTTTAACCAGGAAGATCTCTAATCTGAAGACATCGTGTGCAATGTCTTGGACGTAGATGTATCCTCACCGGTCTTGGAAGACAAGAAAACGACAGTCCTTTCAAAATTTCATGATTGTGCATTAGTATGAATTCCATATGCTCGCTGACTGACTGCTTCTGAACCAGGCTGAAAGTAAAAAGTCTGAGATTCTTTTTTGCATTTCTAGGAGATCGATACGTGATCATAATGCCTTCGTAGTAATTCATTTCCAACACAGAAGATCGACATGATTAATTACCACAAAACAACTATCTTTCAAATGCTTTGACTGCACAGCGGTTTGGTAGCAAACTTGTCTATCTGGAGCTTGGGTATCCAACAGGACTATATGAAAAGATCCGAACTGTTTTAGAATACGACGCCGGAAATAGTCTGTTTGCTTGGGACTATTCTAAGGAATGACACTTTGGTGAGAAGATGATTACGAACAAACACTAACTAATCAAAAATGTACTCTACTTCTATTCCGATTTACATGTACTGAAGTCATTTAGGAAACTAAATGACGAAATACACAGCCTCAAAATGGTATTGTTACCATCTTGTAAAAATTTCGGAACAAGCTGTAGCCTGACCGTTGACCATAAAATGTCGATTGCAATCGTCCTGGCATTTGGTTTCAACCATTTGAAGGGTGAAACCCGTTTGATTAACAATAACTTCCCTGTTGGTTCGCTCAATTTTCAATACCAAGTGGAAAGGCTGACGTACTCCTCTACCCAGTAGTGTGAGAAGGGTGCACTTGTGTTGATACATAGAAATCTTGGTAAGGGCGGGATAACTTCCACACTCTGCTTAGGTTTATAATATCGTGCCCATCCTTACTGCTAATCAAGCCTGAGTTAGGTTCTGAGTCCTTAACAAGAAGCGGGTTAAACACCACAGCTCCCATCAGCATATATATATATATATATATATATATTGCAGCCACTGAAGTTATGAACTAATACATTGGAAAGTACTGTCAACC